GGGGGGTGACGGTGACAACAGACAGAAAATCACAAACTTCCACTCTTTTTTGTTTTCTCTTCCGCAGATAAACGTGTGAACTCGCTGCAGATCCCAGAGGCCGGAGAAGCGTTCGACCCCACCAAACGAGGATGAGGTTGCTATGGAAACTGCTGGCGTTTCGCTGGTTCGTGTGTCTGGCAGGTAAGGTATCCATTCACAGTTCATGGTATTAAAAATACTTCTTGCCGTGCTTAGGGGAATTCAGGTCCCACTTCGGGGGCCAATTAGGAAGCTCGTAGGCTCCGGCTCGGCTTCTGCTGACATGTGCCTGACGGCCTCGAATTCTGCGGCGCACAAAGGGGCTCGGAGTTTGGGCTGCGCATCTGGCGTTTCGGCGCCCAGGCCTCGTGTTTTGTATGTGCGTGGCATCATCTGGTTGCCTTTGATGTCAGCTTTGTTGTCGGAAGACCTTTATTTCCTGCAGCGGGGGTCATTCGAGTCACCGGAAGCCGGCGACCTAGATGAGGTTCCACGTGCCTCAAACCTCCAGCACATCACTGGCTTCTGATGAGTTCATGTGTCCTGTTGTTTGATGACTCCGCTGTCTGTTATTGGTGTGCTGGGTGTCGGCGCTGGACGCTCGATGCAGTAACTCTTGGCACACACCTTTTCAGTGCTGACAACAAGAACAAATAAAACATTTTTCCAATATGCACCTAACATCTGATTCATCCCCAACATTTAACCCTCCGTGAATCCCAATACTAAACCTAACACCTCCCATAAAAATAACCTTTAACCCCCTAACACCCAAACAACTAATCTGGCATCAGCGGACATTGTCCTCATACAAGAGCTGCAGTAATCCAGTGTGAGACCTGGAGCTTCCTGTAATAAAGGCTAGTCACTGCTGCCCTCTCTCTCCTTGTGCAGTGTGACCGGTCTTGTCTCCGCCCCCTCCAGTAATAAAGACCGATCACTGCTGCTCTCTCCTTGTGCAGTGTGACCGGTCTTGTCTCCGCCCCCTCCAGTAATAAAGACCGATCACTGCTGCTCTCTCCTTGTGCAGAGTGACTGGTCTTGTCTCCGCCCCCTCCAGTAATAAAGACTAGTCACTGCTGCCCTCTCCTTGTGCAGGGTGACTGGTCTTGTCTCCGCCCCCTCCAGTAATAAAGACCGATCACTGCTGCTCTCTCCTTGTGCAGTGTGACCGGTCTTGTCTCCGCCCCCTCCAGTAATAAAGACCGATCACTGCTGCTCTCTCCTTGTGCAGTGTGACCGGTCTTGTCTCCGCCCCCTCCAGTAATAAAGACCGATCACTGCTGCTCTCTCCTTGTGCAGAGTGACTGGGCTTGTCTCTGCCCCCTCCTGTAATAAAGACCGATCACTGCTGTTCTTTCCTTGTGCAGGGTGGCTGGTCTTGTCTCCGCCCCATCCTGTAATAAAGACCGATCACTGCTGCTCTCTCCTTGTGCAGGGTGACTGGTCTTGTCTCCGCCCCCTCCTGTAATAAAGACCGATCACTGCTGCTCTCTCCTTGTGCAGGGTGACTGGTCTTGTCTCCGCCCCCTCCTGTAATAAAGACCCTTGTCTCCGCCCCCTCCTGTAGTTTTTGTAGTGGGTGGGGGCCTGCTGGGCCTCTCACAGCTCTTTTCTCTGCACGAGCCATGTACAGCACAGGGATTAAGTCGCTGCTGTTTCTACAAGGTGATATCTGAGGTTGCAAATACATTTGGTGCACACAGAGCGGATTCACATCCTTTGCGACTATTGAGGGATATATTTAAATGAGAGGTTTTGTGATCGGAGTTCCGCTTTAACTCGTAGCGGCTTATTTAGAAGGTAGTGAATGTGACTTTCACCAAGCATTCAGTGGTGGAGAATCAATCAGTGTCATATAAAACACATGCATTAGGAAGATGTAGGAAGTTCGCTGAATGGCAGCAAATACTGTATACTGTATAAGTGATGCGTACCGGGCTGTTTGCATGCGTTTTTGATGTGTTTGCATGCGTTCCAGAGCGTTCCAGAGCAGGTAAAATAGGGCTTGCTGCAGTTTTTTTACATGCTTTGGAACTGAACGCTGCGGTGTGAACTAGAGCCCAAAATACCATTGGAATACATTGGACGCAGTTTTGATCCGGTATGTAACTGCTCTGCCCTGCAGCTTTTTTTGGTGGGAGGGGGGCGGAGGGTAGTTTTAGGTAGAGGAATGATTATTACTCCTTTCAGTTTTTTTTGTAATTTGCTTTCTGTGTCCCATCATTGCAATTTCCCTCTACTTCCTGTCTCAGGGAGACAGCAGGAAGTTACAGGAAACCTCTCTCCAAAGCGAGCAGAAATATATTTAACAATCCAAGCCAAATTGAAGTCTTATACCTTCTTATACCTTTCTATTATTTTGTAGTTCTGCACCCCCTACATGTTATAATTTGTGACTATTTTCTGCCAGAAGTTTTAAAATGCTGCTTCCAACCATTACCTGCAGTGCTCTGCGGTGGCAGAGCTGAGTGACAGCCACACCCCTCACACAGACTTGAGATGCAGAAAAGGTTGAAGGGGGCAGGTCTGACCAGGTCTGTTCTGAGTTTTGATCACTGAGTGCACTGGGTGCCTATTGAGCAGTCATATTTAGACTCTGAGTACTACTGCTGTTGCAAGGTGGAGGTTGGTAAAAGCTATCTGATTGCATATCAATTTATGTGAATTCAATTGGGCCTAAACTCAATCAGTACCATTGCACCCTATGCCTCACCTGATGCGTAACCCCTGAGGGTCCATTCACACCATCTTATTGTGGTTACGTGTATTCAGCACAACACAACACACGTTAGTGCATTGCCACATGTCGTGCTGCACTGCAATGTACCCTTTTTCCCCCAAAATAAGACCAACCCCGAAAATCCTTTAGGCATCCTATATGAGTTCGCCTAAAAAAAAACTGACAGGCGGATCCATTCGGACTGCCTGCGTGAAAGGGGCCTCATGTGTTCAATCGTTATTTCCTGCTTAAAAATGGGATATATAACGCCCAGTCACACCTGGTGCATTGCTTGAAGTCACACATTAACGTGTTGCATTACGGTGGCTCATTTAAATGAAAGGGACAAAAAAGAAGAAAAATCAGACATGCATTATTTTTTCCTGAAACATTGAACCACAATGCTTGTTAGTGTGTTACCGTGTGTCTTGGTGCGCTGCAATGCATGTGTATCGGAGGGCGTTGGTTTAAAGCAACGGGGTGCCATTGACAATAAATGGCACTGCAATGCTCTGATGCAAGTAAATCTTAAAAAAAAACAGTCAAGTAACTTAATCATTACCGAAAATGTATCTTATTTGTGTATCACTCGGCTGTAGATCCTCCAAGCATCTCTGAATTGGTGCTGGCACTGTCCTTCCTTCTGGAGGGGGGCTACGTCTGTTCCCCATGGTCCCTGCGTGTGTTATAAGGTAGTCACCGCTCCAAGCTCACTCCCGGGATGGACTACAATCTCATGGTTTAGTTTTATCATTTGTATTGAGATTGTAGTCCATCCAGGGAGCGAGCTTCGAGCGGCGACTACCCTGTTTCCCCGAAAATAAGACCTACCCTGAAAATAAGACCTAGTTGTGACCATTGCCAGGGCCGGTGGTGGCATAAGGGGGAACTTGAAGAGCCGCGGGAGAGGCGGGAGAGAATCAGCGGTGCCAACTAAACCAGCGGTAGAGGAAGCAAGGCGGCAGCGGAGGGAGCAGAGCCGCATAAGCCGATGCCTCCTCTATAGCCCCGCCTCCTGTCACAGGCGGAGTGATACCAAATGCACTCCGCCTGTGAGGAATCGATAGTGAAAGCGCGCTTCGCTCATTCTGGTCAGCGATTGGTTAGCAAATTGCTCTTGGAAAGGTACGGCGCCCCTGATTGCCCCGATCACCATATTTTTGTACATGAATACATGTAGACTTTCCTACATGAATAAGTGCGGATTGTTGTGCATTAAAAAAAAAAAAAAAAGACCTACCCCAAAAATAAGACCTAGTATGTTTTTTTGAGCCAAAAAAAAATATAAGGCAGTGTCTTATTTTTTATTTTCGGGGAAACACGGAACATCCATCACAAGGTGCTTCGAAATGCCATCCAGAATGACTGTCACTGCCTTGTACCATTGCATTTAATGTGTGTTACCGCAACACGATGGTGGTAATGCTTCACCCTGCCATGAATCTAACTTAGCCGCTCTCTAATAGGTGATGGCTCTCACGCTTCAGACAGTCCCGACTAAGATCAGAATTGGACAGAAAAATTCTCATCTGTCCATGTTTCCTTTTGATTAAAATTGTGCCAACTGTTCCACTGATGTCAGATCATCTCCCCAAACCTTTTAATGTTTGTAGGCGCTTTTACTTATTTTCTGAGACGCTGTGGAACTCGAGCACACACTGGGCCTGTAACAATGTGAAAACCAGAACACGGCTCAAAAATGATGACATTGTTATTAAAGTCTAAAACACCTCAGACGTGCTCTTCCACTGAATTTGATGCTCAAATAAATGTTACAGTTGCTGTTACACTTGTTACAGTGTCAGGGGTGAGGCTGACAGATTACACATTGTGACTGCACGCTTGTAGGAATAACTCTATGTGGTCCCGTCACATGGGGGGGAAATCGCCCGTACCTCTCTACATGGCAAGGTCTGAAACAATTGTGTCAAAGAGATCCTGTCAGAGTGGCTCTTGCCTACCAGACAGCCAGCACTCCCATGGAGAACTGGCGGCCACCATTGCCTGACTGCAGGACATGGTCCCAGATCCAGGACAATGCTAAAGCATCACATGTGGTTTACTGGCTAACTAGAACCATCGCCATTTTTAGAGATTGGGCAGCAACGTCCTCCAACTCTGGGGAGGAACTTCAGCTGTTACGCTGGTCATACAATGGAAGGCTTTCCTGCACTTCCAACATCCAAAAACAATTGAACGAGCCATCACACTCTCCAATATATGTTGGCCGTGCTTGGCCTTAAACTGTTTAATAATTGTTGCAAATAAAATCTGGTCGCAAGATGATTTCAATAGTTAGAACATTGCTGAGTATATGACCAGTGCTAGGGAGCCTGAAGACTTCTTGGCACCACTCTCTGCCAACCCGCACACAAACCTGGCAGCTCAATTCGGCAAAGGGTCACGGTTTTTCTTATAGAGAGGGACAGGGAAAGAGAAT